TATAGTGTAATTTCTGTACATTCTGCTACATGAAATACAGCATATCATGCCATAATTCACGGCTTCAAAATTCATAATCCTGTTCATATATTTTTTTAAGATAAGTATAAAGTTCAATTATACTGCTTTTTTGCTGTTTCCAACTCTGAAATACTTGATGCTATTTTTTAATTGGTTTGCTAACTGCTTTTTTTAAATGTAATTCAAACAGATATTCCATAATTATTTTATTATCCCAATCTGTAAATATGCATTCATCAGGTATAGGTGTTTAATGAAAAAATTTTGTTTCATATACTTGTTTCAATTTATGTAAAGTTGTGGAATGATTAATAGCGAATAAAATATCACCAGAAATAGACTTTAGAATTCTAGTTTGTTTCCAAATGGCATTAGGTAAACTATCTTTATATTCTGCAACAATTTGACTATTTTGATATATAGTAATTGAATATGAATTGTCATTAACAGATTGAGAAAAAATAGATTGTTTTATTTTGTATTTATAAAAGAATTATGCTGTATAATTGCAACCAATTTTATTTGAGGTTGAATATAAAATTTTACCAAGCGAACTAACAAAAATAGAAATATTGTTTATTTGAATAATAAAGGGATAAAAAGTAACATTTTCTAATAGTTTTTGTGTTGTTTTCTCTTGATCTAAACCTAAATATGCAAGGTCTGAAAATTTTGCTTTGGTACCAAAAACAGTTTGATAAACCGATGTAATTGCTATAAAGGCATTTGTAACTATACCACTACTTTGTCCATTTTCTTCACAAATATACCCAGATTATAAAAAACTATGTATATAATGAACTACATGAATAATAAAAGGTTTTTTATTAAAATATATCATGATTTCAAGTCCTAAACGTATAGAAATAGGATGAGCAAGATTTTTATTTTCAGAAAAAACCTACCAATCTCGTAAATAAGGACCATAGTGAAGCTCTGAAATAATAATACCAGTTTTAATAAGTTCTCCTGATATTATACGTATAGTTGACATTAAATCTTTAGAGAAAATAAAGATTTTAAATATAAGTTTTTTTATTATAAAACATAGTGCTATAATTACTAATTAGAATTTCTATCGATCATATGCAGATCTGCAATTAATATTTTTTTAACAAAAATTATAAAGCTATATATCAAGTAGTTTTAAAAGAACTTGAGCTAAAGTTGTTTAATTCTTCTCTATATTCTTTAAATCAAATAACTGACTTACTTAAAGTAATAATATAATTGGCTAAAGCTATTTTTTGAATATTAAAAAAA